CCCTTCTTTTATTATTTCTGAATAGTTGTTTGTTATTATAATTGTTTAACTGTTGTAGTTTGTTACAATTGAAATGCTAACTATTGCAGTACTCCATTGCTCATATAAGTATGAGTTATGTAAGAGGTTTACCTACTTTTTCTAACATTCTTTAGTAATGAATCATAATTCTTAGCAGATTTAATATGGTATCGAGCATCCCCTTTCTTGGCTTCTGAAAAATCTTTTTGATTCTATTGCTTACATAGATTCTAATTCTTCTTGTCCTCCTCCTTCAACCCCTCATCCTTCGACAGAATCTTGTCCCAAACACAAAGGCACAACAACTGTGTTCTGAGTTAAGAAACTAATCTTTGGATAATCGCATAGTAACTGAATTTCTTTCTTAATTTAAGTCTCTTGTTGACTCTCTTTGTTCAGTTGGAGATCCAATTTCTTTAAAAGAACATTTGGATTCAATCCTTGAAGGTCTTCCTCAAGAATATGATTGATATTGTTCTTATTGAGAGCAAATGTGATAATGTGACCATTGAAGAAGTTGAAGGTTTAATTCTTGCACAAGAATTGTGTTTACAAATGTATGAGAATCAAATTTTGTTATCTATTTTCATCTTGCTCAAGCTCCATCTACTCCTTCTACGCATGTCCTTAGTCAGCAATAAACTCCTTTTGCAAATATTTTTAAACAGTAGTTTCAACATAACAGTACTCAAAAAATACACAATTTCAGTGCATTGGTTTTCATGGTACTAGAAGTGACAGTGGAGGTCACTTTGGTTGTAGTGGAAGAGGCAATGGAGGACATATTTCAATGCAATGTCAAGTTTGCTTCAAATATGGTCACACTGTTATGTTTTGGTTACTAAAGGGTTTAATTTTCAATTTCAACCATCTTCTATGGCTCTTCCTTCTATTACACCTTGGGAAACCCTATCATTTGCAGGTCTTGGTTATTTTTCAACATCAAATTGGCCTCAACAATCTCATAATATATGGTTACAAATAATTGTCTCCCTCAACCACAAAGCTATGGTTACAAATAATGCACCTTTTCCATCTCAAACCTGGTTTCCAAATTCAGGTGTCTCCTTTCATAACAAATTCCAGTCAAAATATACAACAAAATGCTCCTTATGAAAGACCTGATCAAACTTTTGTTGGCAATGGCCAAGGTCTTCCAATATTTTCTATTGTTTCTACTACTTTTTCTTCTCCCTTTAGTTCAAAATATATATTGAATTCTCAACAATCTTTTACATGTTCCTTAAATTACCAAGAACTTAATTATGTGAGCTAGTTTGCTCAGGATAATAATGTCTATTTTGAATTTTTTTCTTAACCATTGTTTTGTTAAACCTCAAGAATCCAATGAAATTCTTCTTCATGGTCGTGTTAGACCAAGTGGCCTGTATCAGTTTTCATGCCTTCAGTTTATGCAACAAACCCCATTATTTCATAATGTCCTTCTTCCTCTCCCTCAACTTCTAATTTTGACCCAAACCCCATTATTCCATAATGTCCTCTTAACTATTTCAAAGTCTGGTATTATTCAACCCAAAATTAATCCATCACTCCTAATTGTCAATGTCAAACCAAAGAATTTCAAATCAGCCTTCCAGGATACGAAGTGGTTAGCTGTTATGCAAGATGAATTTCTTGCCCTTCAAAAGAATAAAATATGGTCTTTAGTTCCACTTCCCCCACTTCATCATGATATTGGCTGTAAACAGGTGTTGCATGTTAAGGAAAACCTGATGGGACTTTTCATACAAACCTAGATTAGTGGCTGAAGGTTTTAATCAACAATGTGGATTTGACTTTAACGAGACTTTTTCTCCTATTGTAAAACTTATCTCAATTTGCATTATTCTAACTCTTGTTGTTACTTACAAATGGTCTTTGTTCCAATTAGATGTTAATAATGTCTTTCTTAATAAGTTTCTTGATTTCTTGATGAAGAGGTTTATATGCTCAACCTCCCAAGTTTTGAAGATAAAGATACTTCCCACAGTTTGCTAACATTTTTATAACAGGAAACTCTACCTCCCTTGCTCGACATATTATTCTTAAACTCAACTTTGTCATTTCCTTCAAACAACCGGGGGCCTTGGATTACTTTCTTGGCATTGTCCACAGTCCAATGGCAATCTTGTTATGACGCAAACAAAATATATGAAGGACATTCTTGTCAAGGCATATGCTTGAAGCAAAGCCTATACGTTCTATGGTTTTTGGTTCTAAACTCTCAAAACAGGGTGCTGATTTTTTCCCTAACCCGTCTTTTATAGGTTTGTTGTTGGTGCTCTTAAGTATGTAACTATCACCAAGTTAGAGATATGCTTTTTTGTTAACAAAGTGTGGCAATTTATGTCTACTCTAAAATCACATTGGGTTGCTGTTAAACGTTTTTAAGCTATCTTAAAGGTACTCTACAGTGTGGCTTATGTATCTCTCCTGATATCTCTCATTTGCCCATGTCTATTAGTGTTTTTTGTGATGCCGATTGGGCTACTGATCCTAATGATGGACAATCAACTTCTAGTACTATAATCTATGTGGGTCTTAATATTGTATCTTGGTGGTAAAAAAAACAAATTGTTTTAGCACAGTGAAGCACAAAAGCTAAATATAAGAGCCTACTATTGAACTTCAATAAATTCAAATCCTACTTACTGAACTCGGCATTTCTCATCACACTCTTGTAGTTTAATGTGATAATCTTAGTACAATAAATTTAGCTCACAATCCTATTTTACATGCCAAAACTAAACACATGGAATTAGATCTCTTCTTTGTCAAAGAAAAGGTCAAAAGCTAAGCAACTTGTTGTGAAGCATATTCCTAGTCTAGATCAATGTGGTTGAGCTGCTTATTATTTCAAATCCACCTTGAGCTTGCGGGGGGTTGTGTTATATGCTTTTGTAATGTCTTTTCTTTTATTATAAGTATATGGGTTTTGTAAGAGGTTCACTTACTTTTTGTAGCTTTCTTTACTAATAAATCATAATTCTTGACAGATTTAATATCCACCATGGTCGCCTACACCGAAACTTCCTTGAACACTTCACAAAGGTATTCTGTGCACTCGTAACCCTAATCCCTCTTATTATTCCTTTATCTCTACTTTGAATTTTGTACCTATTCCTAAATCTAAAGGTGATGTCATGACTAACCACAATAGACAACAGATGATGCTAGAAGAAATGGTTGCATTGGAGACAAGTAACTCATGAAAGTTTGTTCCCTTACCTTCTAACAAATCCGTTATTGGGTGTCAATGGGTCTATACAATCAAGATTGTCTAGATGGCATTACTATTGCTACAAAGCTCATTTGGTAGCTAGGGATTATAGCCAAATTTTTTGGACTTGATTATGGTGACACTTTCTTCTATAGCTAAAATTAACTTTTTTTCGGGTTTTCTATTTCGTTGTTATTCATTATTGGCCTCTTCACTAGTTGAACAATAATGTCATCTTTCGTGGTGAGTGGCAAGAGGGGTATATAGATCAATTGCCTAGTTTTAAATCTCTATCAACTCACATCTTGTTTGTAGGCTTTGTTGGATTATGTTTTGAAGCAATCTCATTGGGCATGGTTTGGCCATTTCACCTCCACTCTAATTGAGTTTGGTATGACTTGTCATGAAGTTGATCACTTAGTTTTTCACCTTCATTCTCCATTTGCACTGTGTTGTATAAGTTGATAATAACATCATCACTGAAGATGATTTTAACAAGATCTTTCATCTCAGGTCTCATCTCCATAGTCAATTTCAAACTAAGGACTTGGTTCCACTGAGGTACTCCTTTGGCTTTTGAGTTGCCCAATCATCCCCAACATTATTATTTATATTCAAAAATATTCCTTAAACGTCCTCATTGAATTTGAGATGCTTGATTGTCACCTAATATGGATCCTAATATAAAGCTTCTTTTGGGTCAATGGAACCATTAAAAGACCTCAAAAGATATCATTGCTTAGTATGAAGACTTCATTGTCTCATTGCACTAGTCCAAACATCACATTTGAACATAGTGAGGCCAGCCACTTCCTTAAGGATCTGTGATTGTCATTGGAAAGTTGTCCTACATATCTTGTGATACCTCAAAATACACCAAGCCAAAAATTAATATACAAGGAAAAAGGCAATTCCAAAATTGTTTGTTACTCCAATGCTAATTAGGCAAGATCACCATCAGACAAGAAATCCTCCTCTAGATATTATGTTCTTAATGGAAGAAACTTGATATCATGGAGGTGCAAGAAGTAAAATGTCGTTTCTAGATCCAATATTGAAGTTAAGTATCATGTCATGACAATAGTTACTTGTGAGGTTTCATGGCTTAGGCAACTACTCCAATAATTAAAATTTGATGACACTCAAGGTAATAAACTAATGCGACAATCAAGTTGCTATTCACATTGCATCAAATTCAATCTTTCATTTATAGATATTGATTATCACTTTATGAAAGAAGGTGCTCTCAAAAGAAACCATCACTAACTTGGTTAACTCCAGTGACCAACTTGTGACATGTTCACTAAATTCCTTACGGACTCCAATGTGGATAACATATGTAACAAGCTTAACTCATATGACATATATGATCAAGCTTGAAGGCAAATGTTAAAGATCTAATTTGATAATGTTAGAAATATAATTTGATTATATTAAATAAGAAGATATTATATGATATGATTTGACAAGGAAATATCTTACTAAATATTTCTCGTTTCCAGGTATTGATTTTGTTTCTTATTATTGTATTTCTTCTTCATTATAAATAAGTGTACTCATGTATATAGATCACAATTACAAGGAAACATTTCTATATATATATATATACACACCAAAGTAATGTCCTCTCTACTTAAACATATGCACTTTGCAGAAAATAAAAATGGCAAAAGGTAAAAGCAAACATATCAAGAGAAACTCAAATCTTAAACCTAGTTCATGATGCACAAAAAGCATTTGGAAAATAAGGATAACTCACCAACAAAAAGAGGCTTTTCTGCATTTAGTCGAGACCATTGACCTGTTTCAGACCAACGGTTGCATAATTTTTCCAACAATTTATAACTCGGGAAGAACACAAGGCATCCACCTGGAACAATCTTGAAGATTTCCTCTAAAGATTTTCCAACTGCATCCTAAATCATAGCTTATGATAACCGGATGTATTCTACAAGAATGGGATATGCTGAAAAATATATGTTGACCAAGCATACCTGGAATGCATATCCATCTGCAGTTTTATAACTAGCATTTAAAGGATAATTGCCAGGACCAGTAGAGATTACAGCAGGCCACACCTACATTCAAGAGGTTATAAGTTATAACTTGTTGAACAAGCCATTATTGGGATATAAGAAAAAATAGAGGCGTGACCAAGACCTGTGAGTCAACATCAATTACATGAGGAGCTTCTAGACTAGTTTCGAAATGAACTCCAAGCTCAGAAGTAAAGGATGTCATTGGTGACAGCGTTCTGAAATACCAAAATAAGTACGTAAATGATACTGCAAGGATGTAGGAAGTAAAGATGCTATGAGAACTGAGCTCGTTTCTCAACAATTCTTGGTCCTCACATGCAGGGTTTCACGGCAATTAAAAAGAAAAAGAAAAAGAAAAAGCAGACTCCCCCTTATTTTAGCAAATAAAAATTTGTAAGACATTGACAAACACATACATATATCAACTATCAATTATTTGGTGAAATTTTATGACAAGTACCCGCTCACTCAAAAACTAGTTATTAAGGACAGAAAACCGAACCGAACATCCCATAATACTCAATGTGGAACTTAGGCACCCCATGATACCCAAATCCCTATACCTTTACCATGAATGCTTGAAGTAGCACTACCTCAATTGAACTGTATTTCAACAAATGCTTTTCACAATTTTATTTTTTTTAGCAAAATCAATAATACAAAGTGCTTTTTATAGAATATAACAGTAAAAAGGATATTTCTGATTAGGCATATTTCCAGATATTATAATGAAATATGAAGGTCTGAATAGGAGGGAAATTGACAAGGACAAAGTTTTACAAATAAGACGTGAAGTTAAATTGAGAGATTTTAACATAATATGAGACATCAATACATTACTGGAATACCAGACATGTATTCCTACAGCGATGCTTCTAAGAAAATTAGTCTCGAAAAGCAGGTTAATTCCACCAAAAACTGCAACAACAGACTGGGTCACTGCCTTCCCACTCAGGTTCAAAATATACAGGCCTAGTCATAATTATATGCTCATAGAAATCAGGCTTAGACGGCCTTCTTCTCCCTGACTCATTATCAGTCTAGATGATGAGATCAGGCTATAAAATTCTAACAGGGGCTCTTCCGTAGGAATTCCCCCGAGACTCCAGAAATGGACACTGATTTATAGGCACGCACTGCTCAGGAAAACATTTTGAGATTTATTCTTGAATCAGGAGAGAAAAATGTAAAAGAAATCTGTCCTGAACATGTATAAACTTGGGTTTGGTTAGGCATTAGGTACCCATTCACACTATGCTTACCCTGAAGTCAAGATGATTGATAAAGAAAGATCAGCCACATCTCTAAACACAACTGCTGGATTCAAGCACCATAAACTAAAAGCGTATGTCCAGTTTCCAGTAGCTCTTCCTGACAGAACGAATGAATTGTCAGTGTAGTAATGCAGTAATAACCCAGGCATGAACATAATATATATACTTATATACTAGCAATTAGAACCTTTTACAATGCCATTGATAAATCAACCTGTAATTGGTTGCCCAATCTTAAAAGGAACAGGGTCCTCATTTGTCTTCAGTTCACAAAATAAATGCACACTATCTTATATCTCATTTCAACTCTATTTTTAAGTTCTCAAAACAGTAATCATATTACTCTAACACCATTTGTTTCAAGATCACTACAAGGATCGAAGGATTAAAAACAATTTAACCTTTCTTATTTAAGGTAAATCTTTTAAATTGTTTTATCCACATAAATGATTTCAATTTGTTAATTTAGATACTATAATATTTCAAATTCGAGACTCCAAAAAATCCGATCATATAACCAAAAGATTTTCAAGCCATTTCGCATCACTTGTGTATAGATAGCAACCAAGTCATTTGCAGTTCTGCTGCATGTTATTGTTAGTCTGAAATTGCAACCACTTACCAGTATCTTTTCTAACACGTCGCTGAAGAGCAAGCTGGTAATCCAACATGTGAGATCCATTTCTTGAGAAGAAATAAGTTAGAGACGAGAATAAGCCTGAAATGAGATCAATAAATATAAGGTAGTAACAAATATTTTGAGCTAAGTCAATAACTGAAGACGATATCACATATATAAAAACCATAACCTCAGACCTTCCAATGTTATGACTCCCATGCCACTTATATGCGGTTCAGCTGTCTCCAAGTCTGTAGCAACTTTGATTGCCTTAAACAAATTATCGAGTTGATGAGTGGCATGCAAACATAAGAACAAATATAAATGACAAAAAAACGAGATACCTTGGTAGCACATTCCAGCAAGATAGGGAAACACTGTTTCGAAATATTTGCTTCTTCAAGCTCTCTTAAAGCATTATCACCAGTCCAACTATACATACAGGAAGCTTATGTTATTAAATCCCAGACTAATAAATAATTTAACACCACAATAAGTGTTAATTAGGAAATCACGTAAGTCATAATCACAATGCCTCTTTGATTTTCATTTTCTCTGTACATGTTACAAGCACATTTATAGCTCATAATTACAGATTATTTCTAATTCCTAAATAATAGGCTGATTAGTAGGCTAACACAATATTACTGATAATAGGAAGATATAATAATGGATGTCCGTGATTATGATTTACATGATTTCCTTATTAACAATAAGTTCATAGAGCTTAAAGCAACCTTTCAGTTCTCAAAAAATAGTAAATGTCATACGTGAATGGAGGCAATCAAACAAAAATTTCAATGTTTATAAGTAAGATCAAAGAATCAATTCTTATTAACACGTGAAATGGGTTTAAAAGAATGACAAGTAAAAATAATTGATAATTTCCTGTTAAGGTTCCAACATAAAACCAATTGGCTATATGTGGAGTAGCCTAACATGTATTTAAACCATACCAAATGATATGAGGTAGGCGATGTGGGACTTTCAACACACCCCCTCCAACGAAGCCTGCCGGACCAGGCAAAGGGTACTTTTACCCAACTAAAGGGCAACTTTTGGCCCATGACAATAACCGGAAAGATGTCAGGCTTTGGCTCTGATACCATGTTAAGGTTCCAACATAAAACCAATTGGCTATATGTGGAGTAGCCTAACATGTATTTAAATCATACCAAATGATATGAGGTAGACGATGTGGGACTTTCAACAAATCCCAATCAACTACAAATTGCATACCACTCAATAAAGCATGTTTATATCAAATCTATAGCAAATCAATTTCTATAATACTCGGAATTTTTAGAGCCTGGAGATCCAAATTATAAAACAAAAGCTGCATTATCAAAATAATAATGAATAAAGGCATACAAAATGACAAAATCCTTAACTTACCACGATACATAAAGGTGAAAATCACGTTTTTCGAGCTTGTTTTTCTTCTGTTCCATCCAACTAATAAGGCCCTACACAAATACAACATACATTAAAGATATACAGTCCCTAAGGACAAATTTATGCGTCAAACATTTCAAACCCAATAATATCTAATCCTATTACCTGTGCCATTTCATATAGCGGTTGGTAAATTGCAGCATTAATAGAACAAAGTTGTTGGAGTTCCATTTGCAGTTCTTTCAAAGGTATGACCATGTAGGTAAGCATCATTAGTAGTGACCACAAAAGTGAGCTTTAATTATTAGTGACAATGAAATTAAAAGATTTAAGGTTCATAGCTTACTATCCAAAACATCCTCTTCAATATCCACACTTCCAGCATCACGAGCAATGTCCTCTATATTGCTGCAAAGTGCAAGTATGTGAGGGCCATTTCATAGAGAAAAACAGGAATAAATTACAACCAAACTATAAGAATTTGTCTTTCAGCTGTACATTGGCTTGCATACAACAGATGGTGTTTGAAAGACAACTGGAATCCATATACTATCTACAAAAATAAAATACAGCCGGTTCAATTTAACTGGCCTCCTAGAACTGCTTGATTGACTTGGCAACTAAAAAGAAAGAGAACAGCAACTCACTGAGCTTCGTCAAGAATCACTACGGCTCCTTTGATATCCACATCCATTGCTGCCCGGATAACTGGATTAATGATGTAGTTATATGGACAAAATACCAACTGTGCATCATCTGACATCGAACGAGCAGCATAATAAGAACACCCTGAAAGTGGAGACAGCAGAAGATTTGTACATTACAAAGCTTAGCATAGACTTTTAAAGAAATAAATAAAAGACCAAAATAACAGCAAAAGGCCAAACCTTTGACCAATTGTCCAACTTTTACAAGATCTTCTATGTCATGTACCTCATTGCATCCTCCTTTCTGAAGGGATGGATGACATTTGACTTTATGGGCATTTCTGCATAGATTGTAAATTTCCCATTTCAGTTACTTCAAGAAGAGCAATATAGAATATAGATAGGAAGCATGCATGGATGAGCATACACTCACTTGAATTCTGGGCACCCTATTGCCTGATCTTTCAATAATAGTTTACTGACAACATTTTATGAAAATATCGGTATGAATATTGTTAGATGAGAACATTTTATGAAATATATCAGTATGAAGATTAATGAGGGAAAAAGAGAAAGTAAAAGATGTCTAGGTAATAAGAAGCACCATTCTTCATTGATATTCTCCTTGCCAACTATATTTTTATTTGTACAGTAATGTTTCCGCGACGCCTGGCAAAGAGTGAAATATAGTCAAATCCATATTACTTCACTGAATGTAACATATCTTTTTGCAAATCAAATAATAATTATCAATGATAAAAAAGCATACCGACTTTTACCCTTTGCTAAATTAAAATTCCTATCATATAACTTGGGTTTTTATTAGAATCTCACCAGCAATGCTTTAAACTAGCAGACAATATGCTTCACAAATAAAAAAAAATATAGCTTATTATTAAATATTAAAAAACAATTAGAAAAATAACAGAGGAAATTAAACATGCTTCAGACTGGAGAAGATGAATAATCACATTCTTCAGAATGATATCAAATCAAAAGGATATAATACTTTGAATTAGCTTCATTAATATTTAAAAACGCCAAACAAAAGGTTAATTACTTAGGAGAAATCCAAAAATAACAAATAATTAAAAACATATTTGAACTAGTTAAGATAAATAAATAACAGCTATATCAAAGAAATGGATTCAACCTACCAACACAGCCATTGGCACCCTGTATGCAGTTTTCCGCAATTCGCGAACCACTTGAGAAATTTGTGAGTGCGTTCTCCTTGTACAATAGAACAAAAAATTAAGTAGTTAAGCGATGATACCCGTATGAGGTGAAAACTCGGGAATGGAACCATCTAATCAAAATTAATCATGTCTAAAATATTTAGCAATGCTGGCCGATTGAAACTAAGATAACAATTAAGAAAAAATAAAATCAAATTTATACCATGAATTATTAATGCAGCAAGCAAAGGGGAATCAAACGTTAAAGATAAGAAAAACATACGAAGCATAATATATAGTCGGTGCTTCCTTTTTCTTCTGCTTCTTGTTGTTGACCTCAGTTTGAGTACGGTCAGGGTTTTCCGGTGCTAAAAGCAGGAGAATTTGGTGAGGAACACGGAAAGTAAATAAGGGATGTATGGCCTATTGGTAGAGATAGTTAATATACCAGAAGATAGTGAAAGCTCCTCGGGAACAAAACCGCCGCCATAAGCCAGAGGATCGGTGGTTGCCTCCGGGGCGGGCTTGAGGTGGTGTTGTATAGATTTATAGTGTTGCTGCCAAGCCAGAGATGAGCAGAGAAGCGAAAGAGACTTTCCGGTGCCAGTTGGAGACTCGAGCAACGCGTGACAGTGGCCTTCTCTCTGAGCTTGATTGAGGGTAGATATTACTCTACCCATAAACACAAACTGAGACCCGTATGGTTGGTAAGGAAATTCTACTGGCAAACCTCCGATGTGGTAAACATTTTTAGGTTTAGGGTTAGGGTTTGTTGCAAAGACCATTTTTTTTTTTCTTTGTCATTCAGTTCAGATTTCACAATGAGATGAGATGTTCATATTGTGTCTCTCTACTTCCGAACTGTGAAAGTTTTAGGCGGGAAACTGGTTTCTCTGTGCGATTAGGCGGCTAAGTTGATGGTTTACTCTCTTTTCTTTTTCCTTTTGTTATTAATATAGTTTGTAATTTTTAGTTTAAATGGTTTCTTCGGTCCAAAGTTATATGAAAAAAACTTTAGTAGATCTTAAAATTGAAACAAAAAATCAAAAAATTATTTAATTATTCCATAAATTGTTTATGATTTTTTTTTACAATTTTAAATCTGATTGAACTAATTTTGAAAAAACTATTTTAATTTATAATCTTAAATATTCGGAATTTATAATTTGAAGAAACTTAAGTAGCCCTTTAAATTGAAAAAATAAAAAATAAATCAGTGAATTCATGACCGTGTAAGTTTTTTTAAATGTTTTTTTTGTACGACTTTATGTCGACATAAGCTAGTTTTGAAATTTAATTTTAACTTAAAATTATATTAATTTAAAATCCTACTTACAAATTCTTATAAAGACTAAATAAGAAATTTGGTTATTTAAAAAACTAAGTAATTTAATCTGATTTGTGTAAATAAAAATCAAGGCTGATGTAGCGCGTTTCTATAATATTAGAAAGTTTGTCACATATTACAAAAATATATATTTATAATTATAAAAAGAGAAAGAAACTTTATTTCAATTGTATTTAGTGTGTTTTTCCTGTTATTTTGAAGAAAACAAAAATATTTATCTCATTAATTATGTCATTGAATTTTTTATGGAGATTTTAATTGCTAGTTATTTTTAAGATTCACTCCTCTCACTATTTTAAAAATCTCTTGCATCAATTTATTTAAATAATGTATTATTTAAAACTTGGTAAGATGTTTGTTAATAAAATTGATTTCTATTTTGATTATCTTATTAATTCTCCACCAATGAATTTCATATCAACAAGTAGATAGATGATGTTATCTGTAAATTTATAAATATATATATATATATATATATATATATATATATATATATATATATATATATATATAATATGTCATCTTTTTATTTCATTCATCTTTACTTGCATAAGTCTCACTTCCCTCTCTTATCGCACTGTTTTCTTCATCTTTTGCCCAGGTCGTGTTCCAGTATTATATATTTATGTATGAGACAAACAAACCAAACTATGTTTTCTTATTTCCATTTTTGTCTTTGCATTCAAAACTTTGTTTCACATGCTTCTCATATGAAGTTTTTGCACTTTGCCTAAATCATGTTGGCAAATTTTGGGTCATGTATATATATGATACATATTTAAATGTGTTAGAGTCATTATTTATTAAGCCAAATAATAAAGTGATCTGAATAAATTAAAGTTTTGGCTAAAGGCATATGTCATGAAAATATGATTGTGTAGAGACCATAGAGTAATTTCTAATTTGATGAGGGGTCAAATTGAAAATACTAAAACTTAAGTAATTAACCTAATTTTGGTTATATAAAGGGTCATGGTCCCCTTCTGAGAGCACACAGACAGAACGTAGTTACAGTCCCGTTCCTTTCTCTCTATCCCCATCAAGAGAGAAAATCCATAGGGAAATACAGGTGTTCTTCAGGTGGAAGACCATAAGATCAAATCAAAAGTGCTCTACAAAGGATATCGTCATTATGGCCAATTCAGGTACGCTTTCGCATTTAGTTTATAACATGTATACAGTATGGGATTATAGATATATGTTTGATCATTAGAATATCATATTCAATTAAAGTTTAACCTAACAATTGGTATCAGAGCCTCTCATACTTGATTCATGTTTGTCTTAGAAAATATTTAAGAATTTAAATTAATTTACGTAACCCTAAATCCCTAATTAAAAACCCCAAAATTGAGAATCGGGTTTCTTAAAACCCAATTCTCTGTTCCACGTGTGGCATTATCCGGAGACGGCACAACTGTTGGCTCAACATGAAGAATTAGCGAAGGTCGCACGACGCGCCTCCGTGTGGTCGGGGAAGGGATTCAGTTTCTCATTAAGAACCCTAATTGAAAAATCAACTACGCGTTAAGAAAGGATCGAACAGCTTGGAAAATTGTAAACACCGATAAACGTAACGAGACCTTCTTTTTCTTCTCTACGATTTTTGTGCTTTCTCTCCCTCTCCCTTTTCAAGTGCGAGCTCCAATAACGTAATCGCCAATTCTATTTTATGTAATTTAATTATTGTTGCTTTACGTGCAAGCTTCTCCAATTTTTCCCATCCAAGGAAAGAAGAATACTATGTTAACATTTTTGGGGAAATTCATTCACGATTATTCTGTAAGATTTGTCCGAGAATAAGTTTTTTTTTTTTTTTTTTTGGGTATCCGGGGTTACAGAGGAGAGAAAGCTGAAAACTTTTTCCGCCTCGTGGTTTTGTTGATATCATGGGTTAGGGTTATTCTCCTTAGGCAAATGGGTTTGGCAATAATTGGCTATTATTAATTTTGCTGAAAATGGGAGTTTTATGTTATTGGGTTTTGTCTGGGTCAGATTTATTTGAAAGGGGTTTATTTTTTGGTGGGTGGGAGGTTCTCTGGAATGTCCCGGAGGGGATTAAGGGTTGACTTATTTTGAAAGTTTGGAGCTTGATTTGTGTTCGGGTTTTGAGTTGGGGTGGCTGAGATTTGTGAGTTGGGGTGATTGAGGTTTGATTTAAGTGATGGATGAGGCACTGGGTAGCTCATGTTCCCTGCCCCCTTTCCTGGCAAAGACTTATGAGTTGGTGGAGACTATCCACTTTCTGCTACCATAATGTCTGAGTATTCTAACAAGAAGACTCGTGGTGCCTTCGTTGCTGCAGTGTTTGCCATGCAGGGTTTTGGCATTTTGGCAGGTGATATATTTGCAATTATAATTTCAACTGCATTAAAAAACAGGTTTGATGCACCACCATATGAGGTTGATCCGGTTGGCTCAACAGTCCCGAAACGTGACTACATTTTAGAGGTAAGAATGTCTTCATGGAGGGAAATTATGCCGCACAGGTCCTTAGAGAGAGTTAGGTTAAGGAATATCAATTAAAGGATTTAGTTTAAAACTCTAGATGGCAGTTAATTACTAACAATCGGGCCTTTAACCCATGAGTTCGTCTTCGGCCCATAATGCATTCTGCAGCGGTGATGGTTCACGTCTACCGCTTGTTTCTATGCTCCTTTATGTTTGGAGTAGAGAATTTTTGAAGCCCAAATCTATGTATATGGGCCTATTGCTCTTAAGGCCTTCTATCTTCCATGGGCAATGCTTGCTTTGGATGTCATTTATGGCTAATTCAGAAGGTGGAAAGAACATTTTGAAGACTCCAATGTGGGTACGTAAATTGGTTGGAAGGTGAAGAATTGGAATGCAACCAATTAGTCGTGCGCAGCCTGCTAATAACCCTCAGCAAGAGAGTGACTTCGGAGTTGCTTTTAAGGGAAGGACCTAACGTCTTGGTGGTTTAATATTTAGTTTTGTTTATATAAATAAAATATTCAATTTTAATTTTTTGGTAGTTTAATATTTTTGTGAGTAAATTGAGTCAAGAAGTTACCAAAGTAACCTCTTTTGAATTGGGTAGTTCATGAAAAATATTGAATGTTAGTGTTTGTGTATATTCATGCGAGTATTAGTCTACCCAAAGGAAGATTAATATTTGGTCGAATTACATACACACCCGTAATGATAAACATGTGATAATTATAAGGATTTGCTTTGTCGATGATAAATCAATCCAAAGACTAGTTTGTTGTTGGACGTGCTTTATTGTCAATGTTTGATTATTACAACAAGATACCTCTAGCAGCTAATATTACTCGTCCAAAGACTTGATATTGATGGTGCATTGGGTGTCTTGAGATGGGTTAAACCATTATTTGAATATTATATATTTTATTTATAATTGTTTATTTTATAATGTGAGCATAATTAGTTTATTTTTTTTGTTCTAATCCAGCTACAATTGCTTCAGTATCTCGCAAATTTGAATTCCGTTCCGATCCTCAATGGAACAAATTTTAAGGACTCGGAAAGAGAATATTGATATTATTCTTGGCCGCATGGATATGGATCTTGCGTTAAGGACTCGAGCAACCCCCTACTCCTACGGATTCAAGTACCTCCGAACAAAAAAGAGATTATGAGAAGTGGGATCGCTCAAATCGCATGAGTCTAATGATCATTAAGCGCGCATCCCGGAGATGTTTAGGGGCACTCGTTTCGAAAACATTACAAGTGCCAAAGAATTTCTTGCTGAAATTGAACAGTCGCTTTGCAAAAAGCGATAAGGCTGAGACAAGCACTCTTCTTCGAACTTGATCTCCATGAAATATCAGTGGCAAAGGAAATATCGGAGAATACATTATGAGCATGTCTAATATTGTTTTTAAGCTCAAGGCACTAAAACTTGAACTCTCGAAGACTTGCTCATTCATTTGGTGTTGATTTCTCTTCCCGCAACGTTTAATCAATTTAAGGTATCTTACAACTGTCAAAAGGATAAATGGTCTCTTAATGAGCTCATTTCTCATTGCGTGCAAGAAGAAGAAAGGCTAAAACAAGACCAGACAGAAAGTGCTCATTTTGCAAGCCCCTTTAAGGCTAAAGGCAAAAGAAAGAGATCGGAGGATCCCAAGAAGGAAGTTGCTAAAGGTCCAGAACAAAAGAAACAAACTTAAGAAAATAAATGTTTCTTTTGCAATAAGACTGGACACATAAAGAAGCAATGTGCTAAATATCATGCTTGGCGTGAAAAGAAAGGGTTGCCTAAACTACCGGAAGCCAACTAATTCTGAAAGATGAATATACGTTCAAAATGGCAAATTGGTGGAAATGGAGACTATTGAACATTTTAGATTATTATTGTGTACTGGTTTTTTTATTTTAGATTTAAAAGACATTTTTTGTCGTGCCGTCTTTTAGAAGGAATTTGGTTTCAGTTTCTTATTTGGACAAATTAGGTTATTTGTGTTCATTTGGAAACAATAAGTTTAGTTTGTCTTTTAATTCAGATATTGTTATAAATGATTCATTTTTTGGCTAATGATAATCTATATTTACTTAATACTGTGGTCACCTATAATGCAACTCTTAATACAGAATCCTGTGGTACTAAACTAAAATTAGACTCCCGAACAGTAAGTAGTTACTTCATTGGTTATTCTGAAAGAGCCAGGGGATATAAATTTTATGATCCCACATTAAAGACAATTTTTTGAGATGGGAACTGTTATGTTCTTTTTACTAAGGGAGACAAGTTTAGTCTAAATTAGTGCCCAAAGGGGAACTTGGAAGATTCCCCATGCATCAGCTATCGGGAGTTTGATGTATTCCCAAATATGTACGCGTCCAGACATAACATACATAGTTGGGGTTCTAGGCAGATATTTAAGCAATTCAGGAATAGACCATTGGAAAGCAGCAAAAAGGTTCATAAGATACTTAAAGAGAACAAAAGATTATATGCTCACATACAGGAGGTCAGACCAATTGGAGATCGCTGGGTTTTCTGACTCAGATTTTGTAGGATGTCAAGAATTTGTAACATGCTATGAGGCATCAAATCATGGAATATGGCTGAGAAATTTTGTCACAGGGCTGCAAATTGTGAAAGGCATTGAAAGACCACTTAAGTTATATTGTGACAATAAATCAGCTGTATTGTTAAGGAAAGAGTACAAAGTGGACAGATTTCCATAGAACACTTAAGGACAAACTCCATGAAAACATATCCTCTAACTAAAGGACTTCCGCCCAAGGTCTTTCATGAGCATGTTGCTCACATGGGTGTTTTACAGTTTGAGGAATTTGTGGTTTAGTGGGAGTTAGTCACTTTCATATATTTTATGTTCTATGTTTAATTTCATATATGTATACATTGATTTTTGGACATATTTGGTTATCTATAGATATGCGGTTTTTTCGTTCATTCATTACACTTTGCACATTAAGGATATTATATCGATCTCGATAAGTTAAAGTTTGGACCAGTTGAAAATAGACGTGTACAGATCATCTTCACGTAATTTTTCATGCTACACATTTCATGATGAATCCATGTCATTTTGTTATGTTAGGATGAGTAATCATTGTTGGTTTTAGTTGCGATGATGCAATGAAAAGCTGGTTTGGTTCTATATCCTAATATGATTAATGGACAGGACTTTTGGAATATGCTAAAGGAATATAATGACAATTTTGAGCTCATAAAGTCTAACACATTTGTAAGGTTGTAAAGACATATATATTTGTGACCAGTGGGAGATTGTTGGCAAATTTTGGGTCATGTATATATATGATACATATTTAAATGTGTTAGGGTCATTATTTATTAAGTCAAATAATAAAGTGATCTGAATAAATTAAAGTTTTGGCTAAAGGCATATGTCATGAAAATATGATTGTGTAGAGACCATAGAGTAATTTCTAATTTGATGAGGGGCCAAATTGAAAATACTAAAACTTAAGTAATTAACCTAATTTTGGTTATATAAAGGGTCATGGTCCCCTTTTGAGAGCACACAGACAGAACGTAGTTACAGTCCCGTTCCTTTCTCTCTATCCCCATCAAGAGAGAAAATCCATAGGGAAATACAGGTGCTCTTCAGGTGGAAGACCATAAGATCAAATCAAAAGTGTTCTACAAAGGATATCGTCATTATGACCAATTCAGGTACGCTTTCACATTTAGTTTATAACATGTATACAGTATGGGATTATAGATATATGTTTGATCATTAGAATATCATATTCAATTAAAGTTTAACTTAACAAATCATTGTTTCGCTTTCCTCCCAAATCAATGATTTCTCAAATCTTACACACTATCATTTGAAATCAATATAAAAAAATTGTGTTTTGCCAAATGAATCTCAAAATGACACGGAAGATGGTTATCTCTCGTGATTCTTGTAAACTTTTTGTTATTTTCATTATGTAATATATTATGATTTATTTGGTTCCATTTGGTTTAGGAGCACATATCTTAGTTTCATGCATCAAAAGAGTAACATACATACTTTTTAGAGAAAATCTTTGAACCACATACTTTGACTTCCTCAAGAAAGAACCAATTACTTTAACTTCCTCGAGATGGATCAGATGAATGTGTTTGTAAAATCCAACTTTAATGCAACTTGTTAGTTTAAATTTTGAATTTCTGAAATTAAGGTTTACAATAAACATTTCTCACATCTTTATATGTTTTTTTTTGGGTTTATGGTATTCGTTAAATATAGATGTGTTGATAAATTCGTTTTACGAGTAACAATTATAGTGTTTTAGTTTCTTGATTTCATTTGCATTATAAATCAAACATGTCCAAATTATAAAATCTATTACAGTTTATTATTCTAAGTTGAATGCTAGAAAATAAATTTGGAATATCCTAACAAAGGTTACATGACTTTCATTCATTTTAAATTTTACTAAACAAAAATTATTATTTTTTGAGTTTGGTCAACAAAACATGAATGTTTATTTCACTAGTCTCATTGCTCAATGCATCTATATATTCATATGCATTGACGGTTTCATATTCTTGATGTTGGGTGGGAGAATTCATCCATAACTCAACGAAACTCTAAATGGTGGTTCTTATAGAATTGCATATGGTAAATATAAAATTAACTTTTAATTTGGAACTAAAGTAATTTTAGTTGATTCTAATGTTATACCTCACAATAGTTATGAATATATATCTCTATCAATTATTACTACATCACATTTGACATAGATTATTCATATAAGTATATCTAACATAATTTCTATTGGTGTTTATTATCGTTTACTATGAACTATACCTTACCAATGCATCGTTTTACTTTAATAAATATAATGGAAATACTAACAAGTATTGGTACCAAAAGAAATTTCGAAAAAAATGGTAAGAAACAAAACAAAGCTTAACACCATATGCATAAAGGTTAATGGGTAAGATTTATACAACATATACATTGTTAATAATGAACAATATAATTTAAGACAAGAATAATGAATAATATATCATATTCAAATAATTTAAAAGTTAATAAATAAAATATCATCAAGTATTTATATTGTACGTGGTGAGTGCAAAAAAGTATCTAATTTTACACATAAAAACACAATGAATTAAAAAAAATGTCACTTTTATGCAAATATGTAAAAATAACAGGACATAATTAATTTAATTTCAACGTAGCATATCTATCATTAAATAAACTTAAGATGTTTGATTTATAACAACTCCTCATCTGAAATGTCTAAATCATTATTTGAATCATCTAACTTATCTTATCATCTAAATTATCTAA